CTTATATTTCTGTGTGTACTAATACACTATATGTGTATATATATATATATATATATATATATATATATATATATATATATATATATATATATATAAATAAATCAATTCCTTGGTCCTTTTGCATAATACAAGTTGATCTACCAAGATCACAACCCACTTTCAAATATACATCTCAGAATCTCATTCAAAATCCAGCTAATTGTTGTGCTTCATCCTCATGTTTTAAACATTATATTCTACTGATTAGCATAATTCTCAGGTCCCAAAAGCCGTAGATCAGTGGTCCCCAAACTTTTTCCTGTGAGGGCCACATAACTTTTCCCTTCTCGTTTCTCGATTGATTTTTACCCAGAAAGCACATGGGCAAAAACCATGAGTGAAACGGTGACTGGAACTGACTAGTATATATTCCATTGAGGGAATAAAACTATAACATATTAATTCCTCATATGTTAACATAAAGGCTCATCTTGAAGTATAAATTGTTACTTACAGGCATCGCTTCGAAGAATGGCGTTCATAACAGACACATGTGTTCATCTGCTCACCGCTAGCAAACAACCGTACTGATTAAATAACATAAAAGTCAAGCAGATGGCAGCAATGCGCCATGCAAAACAAAACACCCACAGTTTACAGGACATACTTCCTGCTAAAGAGCCTCCTGGTGGTTGAAGAAAAATCCACATATAAACCAGAAAATACAATAAAAAAAAAAAATAAAAAAAATCTAAAAAATAAAAATCTGAATGCTCTCTGGTATTGTTCAGGGGGCCGGACCAAATGTGGAGGCGGGCCGTAGTTTGGGGACCCCTGCTGTAGATGATCATTTTGTTTCAAGCTTTAAATTGACTTGATAAAATAAAGTCAATATATTCCAATTTCTTGAGATGCACCAGCTCATCCTTAACTGTAAGTCTTTCTATTCTGACTTGCAGAATTAAGTCAAACAGACTTATGAGCTTCACAACTCAAAGTCACAATGTAACATAAGAACTTACAGTATATGACAACTTGCACAGTGTCAATGTAATAACAACAACAACAAAAAAGGTACAACACATTAAACAGCATAACTGCTATGGTCAATAAAGGCAGGTTGCCTCTTTTTACATTCCCATACTGGGAGGGCGAGATGAGGCACGTTTCATTACAGAGAGATAAACAAACCAGGGTGGAGGCAGGGGAAACCCACATCCCAGGTAAATGAGAGCTTTATGAAAAAGATTAGTGCAAATCCCTCTCAGAAAGCACTTGGACATGTGGGGTGAGAGGCTTTCGGATACAGACTTGGCTGCCTCCAGCCGGCGAATTCCCTTAGTGATCGATCAAAATACAAAAATCACAGCTGCATAGTCACAGAGGGGGAAGGAGGAGCTGAGACCCAAAGAGCAGTGACTTACTGCAATAACTAATGGGTGGGTTTATCTGAATTCTCAAAATAAAAAAAAAAACACATAGATAAAGCATATGTGTGCAATTTTGTCTCCAAGACAGAGAGGCTCTCACAACGACAGTACAGCAGGAAAGCTGAACATCTGCGGAAACTACTCTGCTTGTAAGCTGCGGTTGCCATCTTTACTAAGAGCTGATCATTAAGCTCCGTTAACCTGCTGCAGGGAGAACTGAGTGACACAAACACACACACCTGCTCCATTTAGAGGGAAATCATTTCTTATTCCCCCAGCGAACATATAACTCCTCCCCAAGTAGAAGTCCTCAATTCCCCTTCCTCTCCACAGGACATGTCTGCATGTGCAAACCGACTGCTCCCTGAATTGTTGACGGTAAACACTTGAGTCCCAAAGAGAAAAAAAAAAGGGAGAAACAAATCTGAGCTAGGAATGTAAGGAAAATAAAGATGAGGAAAAAAAAAATAGAAGCAGGCAAAAAAGTAGGTGCAGGTGATGGAAATACTTGAAAGAAGATGAAGGAAGGGAAGAAAAAAAAGAAACTAAAAAGGAGGAGTTTCATCTGACCCACTCAAGTGCTGCATGTCTGAAGTGCGCTTCATTGCCTCCTGTACTGAAGTAGCACAGGTACACCACAGTAAGTACAATCTGCAGAGGGAGCAAGCAGACAACTCATTACCGGAGCCCTAAAACATTTCGATGTGCCAAACACCATCTGTATGTCCTCGGATATAAATACGAACTCGGCTTCCCTCGTGAGTGAATCTAGCGGAATTAGAACCTATTTCCTTTCAGGCTGAAAGGAGAGCACAAGTACATGTCAGAGTCTGAATAAACATGCCTCTAAGAAGAGTCCTCACCTATAAGCCAGTGCAGTCATTCATCCTGCAGAGTTCATTGGTTACAACATGTATTAATATGTATTGCATTAGGTGAACAACATCCCCTGTAGCACAGAAACAATTTCACAAAGCACACCACTCCACTCGAGTGCAGCAGCAGTTACTATAATCTGATAAACTGTGAATATGAAGAAATATGTGTGAATCATCAGTGGATAAATACATACCATTGGGACTCTCCTCGTCAATGGTCACTATGGTTGCAGGAGGGCCCGGCCGAGACAGCTTACACTCTGAGTACAGAAGGAGGAAAAGAAGTATCAGAAGACACACATAAAGCTCAACCCGCTTTTTTTTGCACAAGAAACATTCCAGTAAAATATAAATTTTAAGATGACGCGTGATGACGGCTTAGCTGGCATAGCTTCCACATAAAGATTCATAAAGGCGTCTAAGATATCTTAAGAGATTAATCTTCCACAATTATTTGTTTTCCTGTTATCAGTTTCTATGAAATATTGCAGCTGATGTAGTTTTCTTGTAAATTTATGCTCTTTTTTAAGTTGATCAGAGTGTTTGGTATCTTAATTAGCTATCAATTAGTGTGTTTTTTTTGCTAAAGAGACACAGATTCAAACTGTTCCTAGGTATTCTTCAAACTGGAACTGTGACAAACTCGGGGCGGATGAGCCGTCAGGTTTATCATGCCACCGCCGCACACAGTAAGGAGACAGTCAGTGAAAGAGTGCAGCAGAGAGTGACATTTTGGAGTTGCCATGTGTCTATAATAAGTATTTATTTTAAGCCTTTTGCCCACAGCTTTACCAGGAGCCCAGTTATTGTGCACTTTGATAAGATAGCTCATGAGAACGCACATTATACTAGAACATATATTGAGAATATTTGATGTACAGTTGAGTAATGAAATGTCCTTTCAGTTTATAATGCGTTATAATAAATTTATCAATGAAACATCTATCCATCCATTCTCTACACCTGCTTATCCTTGCAGAGTTGGAGGGGTGCCTATCTCCAGCAGTCACTGGGGCAGGGGTGGGGCAAACCTTGGATGGGGTACAAGTCCATCGCGGGTCAACACAGAGACACGCGGGACACACAACCACAAACACACTCATATTCACACCTAAGGGCAATTTAGAGAGAGGAATTAATCTAACAGTCGTGTTTTTAGACTGTGGGAGGAAGCCAGTGTACCTAAAGAGCCCATGCATGCATAGTGAGTACATGCAAATATCACAAAAATAAATAAATAAATAAATAATAATAAAAAAATAAAAATACAGGCAGACATTTGAACCCAGGACCTCCTTGCTGCAAGGCAACGGTACTACCAACAAGGTGTATTTGTCCATCTATGAAACAAATACACATTTTCTGGTGTGTGTATATATATATATATATATATATATATATATATATATATATATATATATATATATATATATATATATATTATTTTTTTTTATTTATTTATTTATTTTTTTGAATATATTTTATCAAAAGCTTGACAACATTTCATCAAATGTGATGATCAACCCACAGTTCAGATCAGTTCACATAATCAGAAAATGCACTGATGTACTTTTAGGGGTGCCCCAATCTAATCCCTACGATTTTTTAAATGAGCTGTACTGGTAGTCCCAGACAAACTCAACTCCTGTGATACCTGCAACAGATACAGCTGGTAAGATCCGTTTCATAAATCATGGTCTATTTTGTAAGGGGCTGTATTATTGTATTATTGTATTATTGTTCTTGGGCATTGTATTAATGATTACACCTTGGTTACCTGCTAAGAAGACACTCCAAGACCTCGTCAACTTTAGTCGCTGACAACAGCAGTAACTGAGACACTCCAGGGACTCCCTGTCTGTATCATGTGACCAGCTGTGCCACGGTATTATTTACCGACGCCAAATGTGCACCAGAGGGAGCTCTGCTTAGTGCATCTTAAAATCAACATATTAAACTTTATCAATTTAAAAATAGAGGGGTTTTTTAGTTCCATCTGCAAATAATTACCTAGAATGTCGCTAAAAGATGATAAGAACCACATTGTGAAAGATTTGTATCAAAATAGAGCTGTGGTTGTAAACACTATCAGCAGGAGCAAGGTGAGTGTGTGTCAAGACAAATATACAGAATCTTTAGAATCACAGGATAAATCTATGAGTACTTTAGGTGAGATGCTGTCAGAGCACCACGGCAGCTTTTTAGCTAAACCTGTTTCGGAGAAACATATTACAGCCATCTCACAGAAGCTCCGCTCAGAGTTAAAATATCTGTGAGAGTGAAGAAACTGAAGCATCCCAAACTGTCAGCATGCAGTGTATGCTGCAAGGAAAGGTCACAGTGTGTTAAAGAATGTAAACGGCATGGATTTCAAGAAACCAGCCTGGACTCGGCAATGGGTAATTTTCAAATTTTTTTTTAATTTTTTTTTTTAATTTTTTTCTGCCCATTTTGAGATTTGCAATAAGCACCACTAGTACAAACAAGAATCATCTTGTTAATATTAACATATAACAAGATCACAGACAGATTTATAATGTAACGTAGCATTTGGAGTTTCAGAGTTGTGAGATTTGTAAGCAGTTTGTGTATTTTCGAATACGACAGACAGTGAAGGCAATTTAAGAGGCAGTTTCCCACAAAACAATAATTAACAAGGGAGGTTTTATAACTTGGATAGTAAAACGGACATCTGCTTTTGTTTTCCGCACATTGTAGTGGTCAGATTTAAAATTCACGAGGGTAAAGCAAATGCAGCTGTAGTCAGTAAAAATTGTACTCAATTAGCGCTTGAGTATTAAGGGAGACATCACTTCCAAGTTCAAGTAAAAAGATGTTGGTTTTTTTTATGTTAATGTGATGCAATATTGTTATGAGGTCATTTTAAAGGGTCATGTAATCTGCACAGAAGCTCATGATTCGCACTGCACACTTCGAAGAACTGTTTGAGCATCTTCCCGTCACACAGACGGATCCTCTTACAGCAAGTGCAATCAATAAGTCCTGTAGCTGCATCATCAAGAGTAACCGACTGTGTGACTCTGACAACTAGACAAAGGGCGGTGAAAAGCACAAGGCAACATTGTGAACAGAACAAGGGAGAGAAAAGCTTTGCAGATGGAGGTCACAAGAGCTAGATGGTATGAGCACATGGGACACAGGTAATGGCAGCTTGACAAACGGCACCAGATGGGGCAGTGAAGGGGGTGGGACATGTCATTCTATATAAACAAGCACTGAAAGATAACTTTGCTGATGTAAGGAATGCTTGGGATTACATGTCTTTCAGCATGTGTGGGGGGAGGGGGAACATAAAGAAGAAAAACAGCAAAATACCGAAGTTAATAAAACAAAGGGAAAATAGATAAAAGAATCTTGCCCTCTTACCCTCATACTGCCAGTCTGAAGGAGTCAGAGCACAGTTTAGCCAGAGGGAAGGAGAGCAGGAAGGGGAAAAAAAGGAAAATAATAATAATAATAAAAAAAACATCAAACATTTAAGAAACAGCTCTGAAGTTAAGGGGGGGGGAAAGGAGAAGAAAGTCCTTGCAAGAATACAGCGTTAAGGAAAAGAGAAGGAGACATGTTATAAGGGGAGAAAATGTTAAACAGGGATTAAGATTTTAGAGGAAAAATATTAAGCAATCCTTCAGTACAAAAATGGAGGCTTTTAAGATGCCGTCACAGCATTTATCTTAGTAGTTTGTTAAAGATGAAGTCCTGTCACATATATGAACGATGTGACTCCCTTTTGACACGTGGTGAGAAGAAGGCTGTTCACACTGCATGTACATACTAGTCATTGTGCTAAAGGCAGAAAAACAACTTACCCTTCCAGGAAATGGAAGAGGGTGTGAGCAGTGCATACACGAGGATGATTAACTGGGACGAGGCAGAGGAGCTCGATCTTCTAACAGATTATCTGTCTCATAGCATGCCGTCACTACATAGATTTAAACATTAAACATGTAAGAAACATTTTTTTTTATTTGATTTATAAAAGTTATATACTGCTCACCCCACAGCGGGGAAGTCCATTTTAATTTTATTTTTTACTAATGATTATTTGATCCCTTGGGGGCCCTCAGACCATGTATAAACAATTAGTTAAAATGATCGAACAATAGAATTAGGATTATGCCAAAGGGATCATGACCTGTTCAGCATTACAGTGTACATTTTTCCACCATTTTTCACAATATACATTCACTATAATTAACGAGGTCGGAGCAGACAAAAATCAAAACACATTTTTAGATAGACATATAAGACACTGTGTGATAGCAGTTCAAAGATTTGGTCAACAGGTGAGTAATATCTCCTTCTGTTAGAAATAGATTCCACAGCAGACGTTCATTAAAACACTCAATCAAGAAACACACATTTTGTTCTTAAAGTCATGGCTATTATACACAAACTGTCTCTCTTTTCCTAAAATGCTCTTTCTCTTTCAAACATTTTGAACTTTGTGAGGCTCGTTACCAAATTGGGTCAACTTAGATTACATGTAATCAGAGATGGACAAGATGACACATCAACAACCACCGGTCTAGTATTTCACACCCACCTTCTGTTGCAGTCCTTAGTTGTGCAACCGTGCACCTGTTAGTAGGTGCATAACAGGATAGTTTTCTCATTAAATATGCATAACCATGAGCCATGTTTTGCATACCCATGAGCCATGTTTTAGAAGCACATAATGCTCGGAGGAAAAGTTCTGGATGAGATAGCCTTAAGAAATGTTCAAATTTGTAGATTATTTGAAACAAATTTCTGGAAAAATTGAAAATTTAATGTGATTGTATGTTAGAATACTGTTGTGCTAAAGATGTGCAAAGACTTGCAACATACATTTATTATCCATATATGTATATATCCATCTTTAAAAGCTCCTTAAGACATGTGCACTGTTAATTTTCAGTCAAGAATTTTGGAGCAATTAGAAAACCCATACCTCTTTGCTAAGGAAATGGAGTCTCCCATAATAGCAACATGATGAACAGAGGAAGTGGGTCACCCAAACAAGCAACATAGAAAAAAAAAAAAAAAAAAAAAAAAAAAAAAAAAA